GTTTCAAATGTGGGTCTCCGATATGCACTTTTATTTTTTCCTTCTCAGCATGCTTTTCTTGGGTAGTTTCTGTGTCCCTTTTGTCGTGTTTTCCAGTCGTCTCTCTCTCTGCCCCAGTCGTCTTATTCTGACAACCTCTTTCACCATTTCATCCCTCCGACAACGTGGTTGTGCCAGCCCCATTTCCTTCAGTGGTTTCACATGACTCACACCCTTTCAGGGGTCTTTCTCTCCCGCCGTCGTATTTTCTGGTTGCAAACACAAAGTGACTCAGAAGTTCCGGAAAGGAGCACGCGACCGCAGGGCCGGGGGTTATGTTATTTCCATCGCGTGGGCAGCATGCAAATATTTACCTATTTCTGTTTATGTTAATCCTCAGTGACTTGCTTTGCCGGTCATCGCACTTCACAATTCCCCTCACCAACTTCTCCCAAATCGGAGAAGTCTCCGTCACGGTGATGTGTAACTATTTCTACCTGATTTAGTGGCCAAAAAAGCTAATGCAATCCTAAATTGCATTAACAAAGGAACACAATCAAGATCAAGTGAGGTACTAATACCACTCTGTAAAGCCTTAGTAAGGCCACACCTAGAGTACTGTGTCCAGTTTTGGTCACTACACTATAAAAAAGAGGTTGAGACTCTGGAAAGAGTGCAGAGAAGAGCAACCAGGATGATGAGGGGACTGGAGACTAAAACATACGATGAATGGTTACAGGAACGGAGCATGGCTGGTCTAGGGAAGAGAAGGACCAGGGGAGACAGGAGAGCAGCCTTCCAGTATTTGAAGGGAGAGGGAGAGAAAGAAAAGGAAAGAGAAAGAAAGGAAGGAAGGAGAGAAAGAAAAAAGAGGGAGAGAAAGAGAAAAAGAACAAAAAGGGAGAGAAAGAGGGAGAGAGGAGAGAAAGAAAAAGGAAGGAAGGAGAGAAAGAAATAAAGAGGGAGAGAAAGAGAGGGAGAGAGAGCAAGAGAGTGTGACTGGAGGCTAAAAGATATGATGAATGGTTGCAGGAACTGGGCCTGGCTAATCTAATGAAGAGAAGGACCAGGGGAGGCAGGATAGCAGCCTTCCAATATTTGAGGGGCTACCACAGAGAGGAGGAAGGGGGTCAAGCTATTTTCTAAAGCACCCGAATGCCAGACAATGAATAATGGATGGAAACTGATCAAGGAGAGATTCAACCTGGAAATAAGGAGAAACTTTCTGACAGTGAGAAAAATCAACCCGTGGAATAGAAGTTGCCTTTGGAAGTTGTGGGAGCTTCATCCCTGGAGGCTTTCACGAAGAGACTGGACTGCCCTCTGTCAGAAGTGGTGTAGGGTCTCCTGCTTAGGCAGGGGGTTGGACTAGATGACCTACAAGTTCCCTTTCAATTCTGATTATCTGTATCCTTCCCTCCAGGAAGAGCGGCCCAGAAAAATCAAGCACTTCCAGTATTTCAGCTGGCCTGATCACGGTGTCCCTAATGAACCGGGTGGCGTCCTCAGCTTTTTGGACCAAATCAACAAGGCTCACAGAAGTATTCCTGAGTCGGGACCAATTGTGGTGCATTGCAGGTGAGGGACATCATGGAGGCATGGGTTTGGGGTCTTCCACCTGTGCCCAGGTGCCTATCAAGACCACACTCCTCCTTGATGCTTCTTCCTCCCAAAACAACTAGGAGGAAGGAGGGATTTTCCTTCAGATCCCTCCTCCAGCACAAGGAGTCCTTAGTTTAAACAACTATGTCATTAGAAAACATTTGAACTCACAACCATTTGGCTGGGAGAGTATGAGGTGTCCTGTCCTGAGTAGGTGGGGTTGGACTAGAAGACCTCTGAGGTCCCTTCCAGCCCTAGGACTGTGTGTTCTAAGGGAAAGAAACTGAGCCCCTCCTCCCAAAAAAGGGAAACGGGTGATTATTACATTCGTGGACCACTGGCTCAACCAGAAGGGATTGAGAGCTAAAAGTTTATAGGTAGTCCTCAAATTATGACCGCAATATAGGGACAAGAAAATTGATGATGAAAGATGACTAGAATAAAGGATGGGATGGGATGGGATAGGATAGGATAGGATAGGATAGGATAGAATAGAATAGAATAGAATAGAATAGAATAGAATAGATGGAATGAAATGAAGAATAATAGAATAGAATAGAATAGAATAGAATAGAATAGAATAGAATAGAATAGAATAGAATAGAATAGAATAGAATGGAGTAAAATAGAATAAATTAGGAATAGAATAGAATAAATGAATAGAAGAGGAATAGAATAGAATAGAATAGAATAGAATAGAATAGAATAGAATAGA